TGACAGTGTTGGAAAGCCTGATGAACGACCATATCAGGCAACATCTTTAAAGTAGCGAGATACTCCACTGATCAAACGTGGTTTCAGGATAAGTAGATCCTGAGCAAGAAATCTTTGATGAGAACGGAATGACTGGAATTCATGCTGGGATGTACACGTGTGATTTTCGATTTTCAAAAGGGGTTTGACACCATGTAGCACGATCTTCTCTTCCACAAAATAAGTCAAAATCGATGACCCGACTTGTTCAAGGTTGGAGGGATTCGTATACGGAAAGTGATTCTGCACCAAAGGCGATCGTGTCCTGCCTTCCTGACACAGTTCGTCATCAGGAGTTCCACAGGATTCATCACTGATCTGCCATGCCGTCTGAGTGACCGTGCTCTTAATTAGGCGGATGACAGATCAATAAAATGTTCAGTAGGCTCTGACAGGTTAAATGTAGACCTGAAACCCCTGGATAATGAGCAGTAGTAAATGACATGTCTTTTACTATGAAGGAATGCAGTGGTGCAACTACGTATCGAATGAACGCAATGAGTAAGTTACATCCACTGCGGCTACAACCTGTCCTATTATACTTCTGAGCGCCAGTCAGGTCTTTTTCTAAGGGAGAAACAGGATGCAATCATGAATTACCCAAGTGGTGTAGCAAGCCCATATTCTGTATGCGTTCTTATTCCCCCAGCTTTATCTACACCATATGAAACATCAAATATGTACGTTCAAAGCTTGAAATGTATACTATCATTACTCTCTGTTAGTTAAAAGTGAAGCCAACGTTTTGTAAAGGGCCAAAAGGTAAGAGTAAAAACGGGTCATAGGCCTGCAGAATAAGCCATACGATAAAGGGTTTTTTCACACTTATGTACCGTCAGCCTAGGGGTGACCCAATTGATGCTTGCAGCAAAACATAAGGCCAGAGTCATATAAGGAGAGACGTTCAGCCACTGAGTTTCTACAGACTTCACCGTACAACAGAAATCAAGGACTTGAGTGTTCTCCCGTTTCCTCTCGTTCCAAGTTCGTTGTATCTTGATCTCATTATCAGTAGTACTTTCAGTCAAAATCTTCAATCTGAGGTTGGATAATCTTGCAGTAACACAAGGACTATCTCAGAGCACGGTATCTCCTCAAAACTCACGCGCCACACATTAATATTGTGTTTCATCTAAACTTGTCCTTCAGCTGTTCCCAGTTCTCGTTGTCTCACTTTTCCCACTATTCTATCTGTTGAAACGTTTACTTTTCAATTAAGGTTCATTAACGATCTGTTTGTTTATTGGCTTTGAGTCTGTATAGTCTCTTGCAGCTATATTATTATCTTCCCTTTCAACAACACCGGAGACCAACGGCTGAAAACATTCACAGCAGTAGCAAGGTCTTAACACGCTACATAACCAATCTCCGTACCACTCCCCCCAGAGCCAACTAAGTCTACTATAACAGAAAGAAAGTTTACCAAAGGTGAGAATTGTTCAATTTGCAGTGAAGTACTTGGCCTAAAAAAATCAATTTGGTTAACACTAGATCGTGAAAACAATATTGGATATTGAATATCTGAAGGTTATTATAAGCGGGGTTTCAAATGCGTTCGCTTTCCTTCGTTGATCATCTTGTTTTCAAGGATATATGCACGACTAGTTCACGGAATCTATGTCTGTATGACGTTGATAACGATGGGGTAATGTTTTTTTCGGTTTTTAGTATTTTGTTTAATTAGTTAGTTTATTGCACCTATGTTATGCTCAAGCTTACAATATATATATTCTCACGAATAATTACTTTAAACTGTCAACGAAATGCATATGCAAAACACTAGTGGAAAGTGCATATTTTGTATGTGAAGTGCATTTATACAATTGCAGTTTGGTACGTCGAAACGTTAGTCATTCCTCAAAATTCCTTTATTCATGACACTTTCTACACCCATGTCCATACGTTCTGTAAAATAGAAATGTAAAAACTTTATGTAGTACCTATCATTGCAAATCTTGTGCATTTAATAGTAAAAGGGATCTCACCAGTGATACTGCAATATCCATTTTTAAAATGGCTAAATGAGAAATTAATGAGAACTTAATGTTAGAAATTATGAACATGAATTATAAGACATATAAATTAGTGAATAATACAAAATCACACGTTTAATAAAAATAGAATTTTTTACTTTCATAATAAGTGTCAAATACCTTGTATCTGATCCAGAACTATAGTCCTGGAAGTGTAGGCTACTGAATTCAAGTTATACAGAACTTGCCTAATTTCACACACTAGTCAAACTCTACAACTAAATGAACAACGATGAACTTTTCCGACAAGTACCCAAACAATTACCTTTCAATCCCATAAAACATTTTTCGACACCAGCAATGAGTGATTCAGGAATAAACGGTTTGCACCTGAGAGTTTCATCAAAAATTGATGAAAAATATAGCACTGTGGTTGATCACCTCAACAGACGATGTTGTATAGATTCTGTGAAAAATGAAAAATACAATTATTTGTGAATGTCATGCGTTCGAAGTTGTTTTATTGTTCTATACATAAAAGCCAACTTAAATTATTCCCATGATATGACTGCAAAATACTTTTTTCTGGGTTGATTTCCCTGAAAGAAGGAGAGCAATATTACATGTTGATTATAACGTGAGTCATGAAAATTGCTGAAAATACGCAATTAAACTGTTCTGTTATCCCCATAGAAATACTTAGATTATTCAAAATATGTTCATTTCTACATGACTTACCATCTTCAAATGACATTAATTTTGTCAAATATGCTGACGATCTTACTGTATCTTTGCCTGTCAAATGTCAAAGCGACTGCTCTAAACTTAATGGCTTTCTGTCAGAAATCACCCAGTGGTCCAAGGAAAATGGTCTTACCCTAAACCCTTCCAAATGCCAAACAGTCAATTTCACCTTTAGGCATAAATCCGACCTAAACAAACTTGTTGGCTCTCACGAGGTATGCAACATAAACGGCACTGAAATAGAAACCAAATCGGAAATTAAATACCTAGGTGTGATTCTATCTGCTGATCTCTCCTGGTCGTCTCATATCTTGGTGATTTCTAAGAAAATATTCCGTCTTACCTTCTACATTAAGAAGTTAAAACATTCTGGTATTACCCAACCCTTACTCCTACAATTCGTTAACTCTCGCATTCTGCCTATTATTCTCTATTGTTCCCCCTTTGTTTTTCCCGGGCTACTGAAGAATGACTATAACATATTACGCAGGATGTTAGAGGTTATCAGCAGGGCAAGCAACGTGCCACTTAACCAGTTTGTTAATATTCTGGTTGACAAACACATGGACTCATGTGAAAAATGGGCCAAATCCATTTTATCTAACTCACACCACCCTCTTCACTCACAACTCTCCCCTTGCATCTCAACAGGCAAAACCAGAAGCCTATATAGAAAACTATACACTCGCACCAGCAAGTACAAAAACTCAACCATACCCTACTTAGCTCGAGTTCTGTGTGATAAAGAAAGCATTAGGCGTGACACCTATAATTCATTAAACAGTCAGTAGTACAACTGGATCTCTTCTTTCCAACTCACATCATCAATAGATACAACATTTTCTTTCTTTCTGTTCCTTTTCTCTCTCTTCTTTTTCCATTATGTGCTGCTTTGTTTCTTTCTCTCGCTTACGCCAGTTAATAAGACAGCTCCCACTTTTCTAACAACTTCAAACACTGTTTCGGCTTTACCTTTGCTACCGACATGCCAATGTATTGTTGTAACAATGAACTGTGTTTTCCTTAATCTATGTAGAATTCTATTTATTGATAATGTACTAATGTGGATGCAATACTGTAGTAAAAGTGCTGAGAATTCCATTCTGTATCACATGTACTGTTTTGGAATAAAGAAAATTATTATTATTTATAAGGACATCTTAGAACTAGTCAAAACTCACCTAGAGCAGATTTTTCACGTTGAAGGGTGTGATCCGCTCGCTAGTTATGTTACCTACTTCAAGCGTAGGTGGTACAGATCCAAGCACATGACACTGACTTGGAGTCGAGTGCTCAGACCAGTGAACTATGTCAGACAGTTGTACTGCTTCAGGTTCCTATCCAAGTTTATTGATCAAAATTTTCACGATACATGCTTCATAATCATATTAGTTATTTTCCAAGTGCATTCTTCAAATGTAACTTTACTTTTTAACGATAGTATATTATTCGTAGGTCTGTGATCTAAGAGCTTAAGCTCCTTAGTTTGGGTTAATGTACGTAAGGTTTACATCTCAGCCAACCTAGTAAAGTTTTATTAATCTAGGAAAAATACTCTTCTTTACTGCTTTGTCCACAATCGTGGACTTAAGTGTTACACTTGCAACTTAGATGTGATTGCCATCAGTCAGCCGAAATTCTAGGTTAAGGGGAGCTTCTTGCCAACAGTAATTTAATATCATAGTCCTTCTTGTGTTACAGCCTACATAGTGTAGATTGTTATTCTGTTTTATAATTAAGGTTTCAAACGTCTGCGCGAACATCATTTCACTTATAAATCAAGTATGGTTCTATTGTATTAGGTAGTTATCATAGTTGACTGTAGGCAGGATTACTAATTTATCAGGATTCATATTCCTTGTGTTTCGTTTAGAAGTACCGTAAAATTACAAATATGTGTAGATTTCAGTTATGGAGTATGATATTTAGCTATTTTTTTAACATAGAAAAGATACAAGATGTGCAATTTCATTAGAAGTTTAAACTCTTCTAAACTCTTAAAGTTTATTGAAAGATACAAACTCTATGTTTAAATCTCCGTTTCTTCTTTAAGTGTAGATGAGGCTGCATTAGATTTATGTATATATATATATATATATATATATGCGTTGTAACCGAGGTCTACGGTGAAAGATTAATCAAAAATTAGGTATGGTGAAATTTACTGCCAGTGATAATTTTCTTTCGGAGGAATAAAAGTTGCGTTTTTTACTCAATGTTCTGAAAAAGTAAATAAAGTGAGGCGACTTCAATGTTCTGTAAAGGTCATTTCTCTCTAGGATATGAACAACACAACATAGTTAATCTATGAAGGTTGATTATACTAACCAGACTAAAGTTGGTAAGCCATATCACACCCGATATCAATGGTTGGCCTTCCAAATTTGGGCTACCGATATCACATACTGAAAATTTCGCACTTGTATCAAAAATACTGTGTGGAGTCAAGCTATAATAATAAAAATAATAAAAATAAAATAAATTTCAATTTTTGAGGAAACTCGCAACTCAGCATTGAAACTACATGTCAGCTTAATGTCTTACGGAATTACTTCATTAATTACCCTATATTTACAGGATAATGAATTAATAATTGGCTATTGGGATTCCGGACCTTTGTTAGAAAATGGAGAAGCAGATGCAGAAAACGCTGAAGGTTCTATTCATGTATTGAAATATAAGAAGGTGTGGAAGGTATCTTCTCATCTTGGAATGGTATGTTCATCTTTTTTAGATTAGAGAGGTTAAAACTTCACGTATAGGTTTCATGTGTTACTGCAGGCAGCATCTATAAACCTGGTCAGGTATGAAGCGTTTTGTCAATAAATTCCGATGGATTCCAACCATATTTTTTTTTAATTCTTACATTGTAGACTTGGATTATTGCTTTGTGTGCTGATTCACACTGTTATGCATTTGATGCATGTGCTACTGTTTCAGACTCGGTAATTAAATTATTTTTTTGTCGATTTTATTATGATAGAACTATTCTGAAAAAAAAATTGTTTTTAAAACAATTAGTTCCCTTTATGAATTTAGATAAAGCAATAAGAAGACGTAATTTGTCTGAATCGTGTAATGTATTTGCGCAACACATTTCGAACAATCTGATCACACACGGACTTGTCATAGGAATATATATGAAATTAATAAAGAGGTAAGAGGTGAGAAAATGGACTTAGGTCAAGTTTAAAGGACATATTCAAGGTCAAAGTAACAATGAAGACCACTAAACCAAATAACAGAGGTAATAGTACATCTGCTATGGTGTCAAAACAAAATTTACCAAGAAAGGTTTAATGTGATGACGAATTGTTTTTGAACGCATAAAGGTGGCTTAAACTTTCTAATTGCTAGGGCTTCCAAAAACTTTAGGATACGCCCCAAACACTTTTCATAGATAGGTTTAAAAGATCTGTTAACGTCAATTTTATGTCCTGTCTCTATAATATGTTTCGCAATAGAAGAGCTAGGTCTCCTGTTCTCACCATTAATGGGTTCTGAAGATTCTATTTATTTCTCGAGCCATTTAGGAATATGCTCTGAAGCCAGCCCTTACTTGCAGAGATCGATGAGTCCTCTCTCCTATGTATGTGTGTCCATACGTACTTTCAAATTGGCAAATACAGTGGGATGTGACATCATTTTTCGCATGTTCAAAGGGCTTAGATAGATAGATAGAGAATAATAGGCTTCACATTCTCAATTATTATGAAATTAGCTGCATAAAAAGTCTTTTTGACAGCAGCGTTCAGTCTTTGTCTAGTTATGAAGCTGCTTTGATGCCCCATATAGGGTAGCTTGATGTACACGTCTTTCTTAGGGGCGAGCTGGAGAGTGGGTCTTGGTGTTCTGACTACTTTATGTCTCCTGATGAACTTGTCTGGATAATTGTTATCAACCAGAGTTTGTGTCAACATTCTTTATT